CCTCCATTCAAACCCAAACAACCTTTCTTTCTTATTTTGCCACAGACCAAGCCCAGATCCTTGAACGCCACTCAACAGAAGCTTTATACTTTTTTGATCAAACGTTTCATGATAAATTCCAAGAATTTCTCTCTCATTTTCTAATTCTCTCACGCCATTTCTTTCTTTTCTTTGTCTTTTTCTTATTTCGTCTCTTTCTCTCCCTCACCATATACCATAAGCGAACCAGGATCCCTTCATTTTCTTTTTTTTTTTTTCAATTAAGACCGCTTCTGCTCAGCCCCCTCACCATACACCATGAGCGAACCAGGATCCCTTCATTTTCTTTTTTTAATTAAGACCGCTTCTGCTCAGCCCCCTCTCTCTCTCTTGTTCATCCCCGTTTTTTATTTTTGCTGGGTGTAATCCTAAATTCCCCACCTTACCAAAACAAAGTTCATTCACCCAGAATTAAGCTACTCTAGTGTAACTACTCAAACTTCAAACCCGTCACTATTGTTTCATGACCAAACAATTGGGTGTCTTATTTAGCCTTTGTTACTGCCATCCTTTTTACGTTCAGACCTGACCAATTGACATTAAAATCAAAAGAAATTAAATGGGTTGAAATACCTTGGTAAAGCTGGACGAAGTGGAAGGCGTTGAAAGAACTGGTGTGGTGCTGTTGGGATTTCCTGTTGCAGGTGTTCGATTACGGGGTTTGTGATGTTGTGGATGTGCTTCGTTCATTTGGAATGATTGAAGGGAACGTTGGATGGCTTGTGTTCTTTAAACCCAGCAATTGTGAATTTGCAAACCCAAATGGAGAATTCCGAAGAATGAAGTGGAACTCCGCCCAGAAAATTCAAACGGGACAACAACTCGGAGAATGCTACTGCCTAAACCCAACCCCCCCCCCCCCCCAAAAAAAAATTCCTCCTCTCTTTTTTTCTCTCCTTTTTTTTTCCTTCTTTTTTTCTTTGGTCACTTAGGATACTGTCCTTTTATAGACATTGACCATTTGAGTTTCACCTTCAATCAAACACTTTCAAATTTAAGTTTCATCGTAAATTAAATATCTTAAAATTTTGATTTTTTAGCTATCTAATTTTAACTCAAACTTTGTTATTGAAAGGTGATCCAACCGAGATAAACTGAATTTAAAAAAATTGAGATAGATTTCAATCTGTTTTCCTCTTCCTTTTTCTCTCTTTTTGAAATACATATTTTGTATTTATTTTATTTATTTTTGTATTTTGCACTTTTTTTTGAATATTTTTTATTTTTCTTTTTGTTTTGTTTTTTTTTTTGGTTTTTTTTTAATAATAAAATGGAGGTGGTTTACGGTTATAACACCTATTATAAATATGATTTTACAAATTAATTATCTATTTGGAAATATACTTAATGAAAAATAGAAAAAAATAACTATAACTATATACTATATATATAATTTTTAATAAATAAATAAATATTTTGTAATAAATGACAGAGAGTGCCGGTGCCACCCCTGGCCCAAAAGAACTTCAATATAATATGGTAACGCCACTAAGCCCATCAATAAGTAGTGGCCGCTTCCAGTTTTTGATATCCGATATCTTTAGTGGGTTAAGTTTCAGGTTTCATGGTCCATATAATGCAAAAACTTTTGTTGTCAACCGTCAAGGCAAGCGGAAAGTCCCGAAATCAAATCCAAGTTCACGGCTTTTTTCTCTCTCACTAAAACCGTGTATATATATATATGTTATGACAGTGAGTTTGATTTTTTTTTTTTTTTTTTTTTAAGTATCATCATCCCATATTAGAAATAGAACTGATCTTATTCAAGAAGAGAATGACAAAATTTGATCTTTCTCAATAAATGTGACTTCAAGATTTAAATTTTGCATATTGATTGAAGATTCGTTTGAAAACCAACTCATTTACTATTAGATCAACAACTTATTGATAATGAGCTTAATGTTTTTATGAAAGAGTAGAATATAGCTCCTAGCATATTCAATAATTTCTCCATTCGGTTTGATTTTTGTAAATCACACATGAATTAATACAATTACTTACATTGCGAAAGAAAAAAATTTACCCAAAAACCAAAAAAACAAAGCCTACTTTAAAATTCTTTGTTGGTTTTTATACATGTCAATCTTTCCTTTATAAATTTTAGTTATTGTGATACTTATAGATTTGGTGTTTAGTATAGAAGTAGAAAAAAAAACCTATAATTATATATTATTTTAAAGAGTAGTACTAAATCCGTCATATTTTTGTTCTTTCTACCAATTTTTTGGGTAAATTATCAACACATTCTCGAATCAATGTTGGTTACTATATCATAATCAATGTTAAAGTTTAAGATTTGTACAAAATAGTCCATGTAATTCCTTGTTTTTAAAGTTCGGTTCATGAACATAAAGGAAGGGAAAAAAAAGTTTTGAGGAACCATCATCCAAACACCTTAAAAACACATTTTAATACACTTTAAAATTCTATTTAAGTGATCCCATACTTAGGCATTATTTTTATTAGCATACTTTTCTGTCCTTTCAACTTTTTTTTTTTTTTTAAACTAATTTTAGGAGTAAGATGTGTTCTTAAGGAAATTTATTAATCAATTAAAAGTTTAAGTTTAAGTGTATTTTAAATGTAAGTAATTTATAAATATATTTAATTTATGATTGTGTTATAAATTTTTATTAGCAAACCATTCTTACTTTCCTCCATGGTGCCTATAGGATTAAATGGTTTTAGACCTCTATTATCACATACTTCCATATTTTCCTTACTGAGCGCTTCTCTAGGAGATAGGGATGGCAATTTACCATGCCTCGCCTCGACTCGATCAACGTGAAGATTCTCCTAATTGATTGGAGAACGGGCCGGGACATCCCGCTCTGCATTGGTTTTGAACGATGACAATGGGGCAGGGGTGATATTTGCCCACCCCACCCCGCCTTACCACCCCGCCCTTCCCTTTGAAAATTATAATTATACCCAATATATATATATATATATATATATATAAACTCTAAAGTTACGGACTAGTTTCCAATATAATGAATGAGATTTAACAATCTCTAAACAATAAAGACAAACAATAATTTATCTTTTTTTATTGTATTTGTGATATTTCATCAACTTAATTAAGTATGTTATTTATTCGATTGAAAACAAATTAATATATTATGAGTTATGTTATAAACTTGTAGTTGAATATGATGTTAAATAATTGATTATCTTTCTTAATTATATTTTTTATATGGGTTATTATCTTTTTGCTATAGTTTAAAATTTGATATAAGATGATATAAGGTAAAAAGGAGCGAACGGGGCATAAAGAATTAAGCAAGGTACTAGATCCCAATTATCGTTGGGGATGAAGATGATAGGAAAAATATTACCTTGTGCAGGACATGAGACGGGGACGGGATGGAGCTTTTTAGGGGTGGGGTGGGGATGGCCATCCCTGCTCCCGCACTATTGCCATTCCTACCAAGGGATCAAATTTTGGAGATGCATTACCCGATCGGTAAGAAAGCATTTGTACTACCTATAAGCAATGATGGTAACAAATAATGTGTATGTCTACTATAGTAATTACTGAATATTTATGTAAAATATATTATTTATGTGAACATAGTAAATATGTAATTACAATTTTTTTTATTATTACCGATCGAATATTTTGCAACCTAAATTTATTACACTAATAAAACGTGTAACATGATTGAATTTCAAAATTGGCAACATAAATATCAAGTTTTTAAAAAATAAAAGATTAGTTTTGGGACCATTTGGTATCATTTTTTTTTTTTGTTTTGAAGTGTTTTTTTTTTTTTAATTCAGAAAATTGAAAACTTTTTGGTTGGCTAGTTTGTATTTTTTATATTTTCAATCATGGTATTTACATAATGTCGCCTAGTTGACCATTTGGTACCATTAGTTTAAATTACATAATCAAATCATGGTAACTTGATCTCAAGTGATCCGGACTTGATTCGCAAACTCTTCTTATCCAATCTTTAACCTTAACCTTAAACGACCCAAACTTGGCCCGTCCTGACAATGAGGCGCCCAACATCTTGTCGCCTAGATCTTGTCTTCATCCAAAAATGGGCACTATAGTATTGGTCTCAGCACGCACTTGGAGTCCCCAACATCGATCTCAAACTGCGCCTAGGACGTCTCGAATCTGATCCTGGCCCGACATTTGGGCGCTTGGGACCCGATCTTGACCTTACCTAATGGCACTCCAAACCCCGTCCAGGCCCGAACCTAGGGAGCCTAGAACCCAAACTGGATTGTCTCCTAGACTCTCAGACCAAGACCCAGATAGTCCCCTGAATGCTCGAAACCCTATACTTGATCGTCATCCAAGCTCTCAGATCCTATTTAGATTCAAACCTTGGATTCCTTGAAACATGAGCATCTCAAACCTTGATACTCGTCTCGACTCGAACTTTGAGAGCTTTGAAGTTGATAACATGATATAAGGAAATACATATCTCTGTTCTTCTGAAAAAAAAATAACCTTAGTGTGTAATCACACAATTAAGCATCGAAGTCATGATTTAGGTTGATAACTTGATATAGGTGGTTGAAGAAGCATGACAAATTAGTAATTTCAATTGTAGTTTTAGTTGACATTTGGTTTCACAATTGCATTTAAACACAAAAATTTTCGCATTTAACAAAAACAAAATTTTGATAAGAACAAGAAGGTAAATACCCCTGTGATTTTGGGAGAATCAATTTTATTAATTTGTGAGTCAATATTGTAGAATTTCAAGGAATTTAGTTGTCATTATTGTAACCTAATGATGACTGCAAATGTGAGTTTTGACTGAGATATACAACTTACTACTATCTATTGTCTCCGTGGATGCCCTAACAACTTAAAAACTCCTTCAACGTCTCCATTTAAAACTCATTAATTCCTCTCCTTCAAGCCCCAAATCCCCAACAACTTAAAATCTTTATCTCAAAATTAACTCCGGAACTATGTGCCAGTTATTTTCACCTTCTCATCCTTGCAAATGCAATTTAGCCACATCAACCAAATTACAAGAATCTGACACATTAATAACTGCCTTGAACCCTAAAGATCCAACATCTCAAAAACACAACCAAAATCAACATAAGAAGACTCATCTCTCTCTTGCAATCAAAGAGGCAAGAAGAATATATAGGCAAAATATCACTTCCAGTGATATTAACTGGTCTTTTAATTACTCTATTCTCGCTCCATGATCTCCATGCTCTTCCTCAGTTGCTTAGGAGAACTTGACTTAGCCGGTGGCTCACTCGCAATAGGTTTTGCTAAATCACAGGCTACTCTATTCTCTCTGGCCTTTCCATGGGAATGGAACCCATTTGTGGCCAAGCTTTTGGTGCCAAAAGATACAAACTTCTTGGCCTCACATTTGCAAAGAACCATTCTTTTACTTCTTTTACCCTCAATCCCTATTGCCTTTTTATGGTTCAACATGAAAAAGATTCTTCTATTTTGTGCCCAAGAACATGATATAGTCACAGAAGCACAACTCTACATTCTTTACTCGCTTCCCAACCTTATCGCGCTATCCATTTTGCACCCTTTGCGTGTATATCTTAGGACTCAATCCATTACCCTGCTTTTAACGTTTTGTGCCTTTAACGTACTCAATCTTGGAATCAAAGGTGTTGCGTTAAGTACAGTTTGGATTTGCGTTAAGTGCAGTTTGGACTAACTTCAATCTTGTAGAGTCATTGATTGTTTACGTTATGATCTCTTTGAAGGGTGGAAATCTTTATTGAGTTTGGCAATTCCAAGCTGCATTTCGATTTGTCTTAAATGGTGGTGGTATGAGATCCAAAATTTGGTGTGAGTTTGTTTATGCTTGTCGTGTGCACCCAAATTAAACTCCTAAGCTCATATAACATAAATGTAGTAAGGGAGAGTAGGGATCGATTCCACGAGGAATTCAATCGTGTTAGTCGTCACAAGTGTAGAGAAACATGAAATAAATAAAAAAGGGGGTTTTGATTTAATTGAGATATAACCGAAACTGAACAAATTAAATTCAGAAAATGAGTTTAAAGTAAATAATCAAGTAAACAAGCCTTGGTTCGGGTAACATCCACTTTTGGAACTTGAGATTTATCCTTGGTGCACGAAATATCGATTTCCATTCAAATATTTGTTGTGATAATGAAATCAATCTTTTCTTACGATTAGCCAACTAGAAACATGTATTCTAATCAACCCTCATTATTTAACAACCCTAGATACGATCTAAGATTTAATCAAATAATGGCTTTATGTATTAAAAAGATCAACAAAGCGAGATAACACAACACATGTAGTTGCATTTAATCTAGTTGAACAAACCTCCTAAAAGTCATTAGTTTCGACGCAACAAACCATACACTCCTAGTTGCTACACAAATCAAAGGGATTGAACAATTACGGATTCACTATTCGATCTAGCTATAGATTATTTAAGCTAATAAACTAACTATACACATTAGAAATTAACCCAAATAATCATGAAAATAAGCATAGAAGAAAGTTCAATACTTAAAATAAATAAACCGATTTACATTAATGTTTAAGCACCTCAAAATCTTTGATTTCCAAAAGCTTCGATTACCTTCACCAAGGAGATGAGTCTAGCTCGCTCATGGCAGCCACCATAGCTAGAGACGAGAGAATAACGCCGCCTCCTATGAGAATAATGCCTAAAATTTTTCTGCCCTAGTCTCGCTAGGTTTCTATTTATACAAGGTGTCTATTTCCTAAAAAGGGTACATAATATTCTCTCCTCTTTTGGTAGGTCGGCATCTTTTTCGGCAAATCACGCAAGTTTTGTTTCTTTCGCGATCCGTTGTCCGTTTCGCAGATTTCAGCATGCCCGCGTCGAGTTGTAACGTGCCCGCGCCTCTATGTCCTTATGTTTCTATGATCGCTGTATCTGCGTGCCCATGCTTCTATTCTTGACGTGCCCACGCTTCTTGTGTTTTTCGATAGCTGAATTGACTCGATCGCAAATTCTCTTTATATAACTCTTTTAACACCATTTTTCAATCGGTTCCACACCTAGCACATAGAATACAAAAGGCACTTAAGTTTTATCATTTAGACATCTCAAAATAGTAAAATATAGGAGAATTTAGCAATTCAAACATATGTTTTAAGCATTATCAAATCCCCCACACTTAGCTCATGCTTGCCCTCAAGCATGCAAGAATCGAACTCATCAAACCAACCCTCCGAATCCCTCATTCCGCATCAACCGGTCTTTCCATACATCGAACACATCTCCTCAAAGAGTTGAACCAAAAATAAGACAAAAACAAGGCAATTGGTATAGAAAATCTATACTTTTCAAAATCATGTATAACGAACCCCCAACCATCGGTTTAGACTAGAAATGCAGCCAAATTCATAACCCTCACCAAGAATTCTCTCAAAAACGCTCATAGTGTTTAGGTTGAATGTATTTGTCACTCTCAAGTCAATGCACGGACGAATCCTAACCATAAGCTTGCCAAGCTATCATATCTCCACTACTAAGTATTGAATCAAATGCAAAAATCAAAAGGTCTTATGATAGGGTGAAATGGGGTTGTGGGTGAGGTTTGGTGGAGGCTAATTTGGTCTAAACAAGTCAAGAATCCTACATAAATTTCAACCTTTAAATTTCGACTTCCTCAAGCGTTACATGCTCACTTTTGTTTTTCCTACGTTGCTAATCCAAATTTGTTTCTTTCATTATATATTTTTTTATTCTTTCTCCCTTTTTTCTTTCCTGCTACTTTCTTCTTCTTCTTCTTTTTTTTTTTTAAGCATAGAAGAAACTAATTACAGCAGAAACATGCACTAGTGAATTACAAGCATCGAGACAGCAACCATTTTTGGTATTTTCTTCAACAAAATCAGAATCTCACTTAATTGGTCATGAATAAAATTCTTGACTTAGGTTCAAACATGGGTTATGTATCAAATAAAGAGGTTGATTGGTTTATATTATGGTTATTTAATCAAGAAAAGGCTAAGGCTCAAACTTGGCTCCTAAGGGTAAAAATCGGGGTAGGCTTTTAAGAGGTTTAAAGTTGGCTAATCCTAGGTGCCCTTATCATCTTAATGCATTTAGTTCAAATATGTAGTCTCAAAATGTATAGCAAGGCAAGTTCTACAAGAATTCAACTTACAAAGACAACACACAATCAAGAAACAAATAGAGCTTATATAAATGCATGCTCAAAGGTTCAAAAGCTCACATATATGTGTTTTGTGTGAAATCGACTCATTTCTCACTTAAACCGATTATTGGGGGGTTGTTCTACACAAAAGTGTCAAGCAAGAATGTCTATATTTTTATGCCCATTCCTATCTCATTTTTATCCAACTCCATGATTCAACTAATCCCAATTCATTTCAAGACAAGTTTCAACAAAATTGAGAATTTCAAAGGGGGTTTAACTGGCAAAATTTCAGCAAACTTAAAGGGTAACATGATCATCTGGTGAGCAATAATTCGCAGCAACAAACATGCACAACTGTAAGGAAAACTCAGCAAAAATTTACAGCAACAAGCATACACAAATGCATGATAAACCCTCCCCCACACTTAGGCAACACATTGTCCTCAATGTGGACTCCATTCGACAACAATAACTCAACAACACAATCGAAATAAAAATAAATTAAGGTGTAACCAGAGGTAAAAGAAAAACAAAAATAAATGAAACAGAAAATGAAAAAGTTAAAGGGAAAGAAAACTTCTCCGAACGTAGCACCACTATGGGGTAGGGGGGAATGGGGGGTTGAAGCCCCGAGTGGCAAAATAAGCCATGAGGTTACGTTCCATATGCTCGGAGACGGTGATCCAAGTGAGAGAGAGGGTCGGCAGGAGCTGGATTTGGAGGGAGAGGGCCGCCGGGTGCCGGAGCCTCTAATCGGGGCGGTTGGCTCGGAGTATCCTCCCGCTGGGGCTGCTGGTTACTACTCGCCGGCATGGCGAGAGGAGCTAGATGGGGTCTCCTACGTGAACGCCGTGAAGATGGGGGGATGTTGGGTCCCGGTGGTGCAAAAACATAGGTGCCGTTATCTTGTAGAGAGAGAAGGCCCATCCCGTCTAAACAAGGAAGATCAAGGGATTCCATAGAGCATGCAATACTCAAGTTGTTATCGGTTAGATTGAGGACCCCTAAATTAACGACCAATTGTGTAATGTAGGACCCTAATATCGGAGGTTTAGAATTTTTACGGACAACAGAGTGTAATTGGTGAAGTAACCAATACCCTAAATTTACCATGATATTTTGGTCTAAAGACCATAAGAAAAAAAATTCGGTTTTAGTTAGGGTACTAGCATTATCTCGTCCGCTCGAGAAGTTATACGCTAAGAACCTATGGAGGATACGCATCACGGGTTGATGCAAATAGGATCCTTTGGAGTGGTCGGGTCGATATGGTTTATCATCAACCGACCATTCACTCCACAAGGTCAATGGGTGGAAATTGAGGCTGAAGTTATGTTCGGCATGCAAAAATCTATCGGATAGAGATTCCAATTGTGAAATAAACCCCATCGCTACATTGAACTCGGTAATGGACATGGAAAATTCATGACCCATTAAGCGAAAGGCAACCACATGTTCAGCGAAATAAATTAAAATCTTGGGGCTCATTAAACCGAAATGTGGTGTAAAATTCCCTAGTCAACTCAACAAAAGCGGGACAATTGACACTCACATAGCCGATCCATCCCACACCATTGATCAATGCATTAAACTCATCAAGCACCATCAAATGAGAGAGAGAGTTTCGGTGAATGTACTTACACGGGTATATCTTTCTTTCACAAATCAAACTATACCTCGGTTGGCGTGGTCCGGTGGAAAAAGTAGTGAACTCTTCCATTTGTAAGCGGATGTTCCCGGGTAGTTCAACCGAACGGGCCGGTGAGGAATCGAAGCATGGGAAGCGTGACCGGCATCCGTGGTTGGTGTGGTGGACGATGATAGGTGAATCGAAGGTAGTGGAGGTGGTCCGATGGTTGAATCCGAAGCGACGGGAGGTTGAGCGATTGGAGGCGCGACCGAATGCTCCGATGAGGACTCACCGGAATCGTTCGAACGCCACATTGCTCGACCGACTTGTCGAGCTTAAGCTTGGGTGCGCATGGTGACAGCGAGAAGGATGTAACGTGGGGGTGTACGGGGAGTGTGAAGTGATGGCAGGCGGAGTGGAGAACGAGGGAGAGAGAAGGGACAGTTAGGGTTTTAGAGAAAAGAAAGTGAAAGGAGTTAAGGTGTTGCGTTTCTCCGAATTGGAGTAAGAGGGGTGAAGTGCTGCGTTTCACTTAAATGGGTGAGAAGTGGTGGTTTGTCCATTCTACCCTCATTGAAAATCATAACTTGCATTGCTATTGGCACAAATAGTCTTTTTCA